TATCTCTATACTGACTCATGGATGGTGGCAAATGCCCTGTGGGGGTGGTTGCAGCAATGGAAGCGGAGCAGTTGGCAGTGCAGAGGCAAACCCATCTGGGCTGCTGCGTTGTGGCAAGATGTTGCTGCCCAGGTAGAGAATCTGGTTGTAAAAGTCCGTCACGCAGATGCTCACGTACCCAAGAGCTGGGCCACTGAAGAACATCAAAACCAACAGCAGTGAATCTGGACTGGCAACATAAGGGTGAATTATTTATAGCTTGGTGGGCCCATGACACCTCAGGTCACCAAGGAAGAGATGCAACATATAGATGGGCTCATGATTGAGGGGTGGACTTGACACTATTGCACAGGTTATCCATGAATGTGAAACATGCGCTGTGATCTGGTATGGAGGATGATGGCTGAAATATAAATATGGGGAGGCCTGGCAGATTGATTATATCACACTCCCACAAACCTGCCAAGGCAAGCGCCACGTGCTTACCAGGCAACCACCGGATGGCTGGAAACATATCCCATGCCCCTGCCTGGAACACTGCGGGGGAGTGAGGCAATGGCTGTGTGGTGTTTAGCTGCCTGCCAGGTTAAACCACAACACCTTTGTAAATAAGGATGTAGAAAAAGCCTGATGGTCACTAGAAAAACTGTAGGCTATGCTTAGCTTTCACTCCAGATGAAGCAGCATTTTTGCATGAAATTAGAGCTGAAAAATAGGAGTCCAGATTGCTAATCTTTTTTTTCTTTTTTCTTTTTATTTTGGGTCCCCAGATCTAAACGTCCAGTGCCAGTTTCAAACACAGCACCCAGAATTGACTCTCCCAAGGCTGTAATTCCCCACCAGAAGGTATGTGACACGTTTCTCCTCAGCCAAAGTTAATAGCTTTTTTATCTACCATGGTGAAGGTAAATACCTACTACAGGAAATAGTTTTTGCTCACCCCAAATAAGTAAATGTTGAATGAATGCACAGGCAGCAAAGCTGCCACAATGCAATGTATTAGTGTTGTGTATTTCGCTAATTTCTGATTAGCAGAACCAAAGCATCCAGGTATCCTCTGGTGTGATCTGGTCTAACCCATTCTGAGCAGTTTGTTTTCATTTAGGCTGCAAGAAGCTACCAAAGTTTCTCAAAATATACATTTGCTTTTGTAGATTCTTGGGGAAAAACCATTAGACTGTGCCTCAGTGTATCCCAATCCTGACTACAACTGGAAAGACACTGATTTGGAAAGAGGACGTTAGGGCATTTGAAAGCTTGTATCATGTTGCATTCTTGTCACATTATTCAAAAGACATGAGAATAAAAAATAAAGAGGACAAGTCAATTTAATGAATAACAGCAAGTGGCAGAGGAAGTGGATGGCTTGGTTTCTGTTGTCAAAGCTTGTCATCTTCCATAAAATAAATGTTCATATTAGAATAAACAGCATTCATTGACTGTACCTGGCAACTCATCATCTGTATTTTTGGAGGCACTGAGGAGCGAGGATACCTGAAAAATGGTATATATCCTTAGGCTCAAGCACTGGGTAGGACATTTGTATTGCTGATGCATTTAATTAGATCAATGGAGAGGAGGCAAAATCTCCATTGCTGCAACTTTACCCCTTCTGTGAGTGCCAGTTTCATCCCTAGCATGTAGTATAAATAAGAAACATTGAAGATCAAAATATGTGGGGAATTAGGTGATGTTCTACTGGTTTTGGCAGTTCTGACTTCCACAGATCAATTTTAAGTAATTTTTATAAACACCATGCTTTCCAAATTTAGAGCTCAGAAGGTAACATTATGCCTGTAACGACTGCAAATACATTCAAACTAACAGAAGAGAATGCACTTGGGGAGAATAACTTGATTCAATTTTATTTTGTCAAATTTTAAATGAACCTGTCTGGCCATTTATTAGTTGAGACAGAAATAATGTTGTTTCGCTCCGGATCTTGTAAACTTTTTGGCAAGGGAAGATGAAATTAAGAATTTATCTTGCTCAGAGTTGTTTCTGCTTATATCATGATCTTATAAAAGTTATTTTGGAGAAAGTTATTGGAAGAGTCACCAAACAGTACTGTGAAATTCCTAGAACAAAAATGATGGATCATTCTTTTAGTTAGACTGGTGTTCGACTGCACCAGCAAAGTAATAGGTGAAAGAGTATTTATTTTCCCTCAAGAACTACACCGAATGCTGTTAGTTTTCAAGGCAGCAAGTAGACATGTCTCTTCAGAGTTATTCACCAACACAAGACTGACAACTATCTTTTGGGACCTTCAGTAGCACCTGTGCAGGTATGACAATTTTGCCTATTTCTATCACAGGCACATAAAAGCTTTTCTACATCAGATTTTCATGACTCTGTATTAGGTGCATTTCTTCCCTGGCAAGTGTCAATTTTAAAATTACTGCCATAGGTATTCAAAGCTGTTTACCCCATTTTTCTCCCTTAACTTTTCTGTAGGGTAGATAGTTAACTCCACGCACCATAGGTTTTTCTAAAGGTCCTAAAAGTGCCTTTCGCATGAAAGCTATAAAGTCACTTTACATTTCCTATTTTAACCCTTCAGAGAGAGATGAGGATGAAAGGACTCAACCCTTTTTCAGGAGCATGTTGTCTCATACTTGAGTATTGTGTGCATCGGTGCTTAGGAAAGGTTTGTGGGAGCTGTTGGAGGCAGCCTGTTCTGAATGAGCTACAGGCAGTACTTGCAGCTGGAAAAGAGATTTACTGGAACCTTTCTGGAGGAAAAGGGTGGCATCTAGAAGGTATGGTGGGAAACAGGGTATGGAAAAGGGTGGCACCTAGGAGAAGGTATGGTGGGAAACAGGGTATCTAGCAGTATTCAGAAAGGTCATCTTAGGTGTTGGGTCTTTGGCCCAGGGGGAAGAGGTAGCAGTGGAGTGCTAGAGTGGGGGGCCCTTTGCAGGTCAAGAGGAGTGACGCTTGTGTCGCTAGTATACACTAGTAGACAAAAGTAATTTTTAACTGAAGAAAAATTTTTCTCTGAGGGTGGTTTGGAGGGGAACGAAAGCATTGAACCATTGGAGAAGTCTCAAAATCCAGAATAAAAAGTCTTTACTGATACAAACAGTGGTATGAGGATGTTGCGATAAGGTATGTTACAGTAAATATACTTTAAAAATCAAGGTTTCTTTACTTGTCCCTTTATTATTTCTAGTAACAGTATCACTGTAGAAATGAAGAATTCCATGACACATAGGCAGAAGCTGTCACCTCCACATCACTGCTTGACAGTGTTTAGACTGTCAAGATGGTTCACATGAAATGAATTTGATTGCATTTCAAAAAACAGCAAAAACCTACATTACAAGACAGTCACGACAGTGTTGTCCTCAAACATCGAGAGAAGTTTTTCTCACCTTTCTCTGAGTCAAGGTTAAGGCATGGCAATGTTAGCTAAAAAATCTGCATGTGCAAGTTCAGTGTCTAGTTTAAACCATGAATTCTTTTGTACATTATTGCTGATCTGATTGCAGCTTCCACTAATTTTCAAGCATGTATTTCTTCTTTGACTGCTATGGTCATGGTTTTTTGTGTTTTAGGAAAATAAGCATACATTCTTTTACAAAGATGTAAGGAAGATATAAAAACCCCAGAGTTCTTCACCACAATAGAAATTTTTCTACATTCCACAAGTAACATACATTCTCTCCTTACTTTCTTGAGCTGATCCACGTCATGGATGATACAGGTTCTGCAACCATAAGTATGGCGTCAACTGAGCTGTAGGGCTATTATTGGAAATAAAAGTTTGACTGATTTGCAGTTTCACTATTTCCTTATCTGACATTAATCTCAAACGTGAAACAATTTTCATTTAGTTTAGTCAAATCTTTTTGACTTAGTCAAAAGATTTAGTCAAGTCTTTTGCACAGGTGTGGCATAGCTGGAAGAAATGGCATAACTAATGCTGAAAGCATTCAAATAACGAGCAGAGTAAGCATGAGTCCAAGGATTGAAACTAAGCCATCATCAGTCAGTGGGTTCCTGCAGCTTTTCGGGGGGGCACAACACAGGTGAAGGTTCATCTCAGTGCAGCTCAAAATGTTCAAGCTGAAGCTTTAGGGCTAAGCATGGCTTTAACATTTGTCCCTTGGCATAAAGGTATTGACAGCCTCTTTAATTTTAATAATATGACTGTGTTGTCCTGTTTATGAAACAGTACTGAACACACTTAGTTCAGAGTCCCAGTGAGGATCTTGTAATGCTTATGATTTGTTTCCTGCCAAATTTGAGAACCTATGTGGCTAAGAGAAAATAGATGAAGAGATGATTGACTTTTTAAGTAAAGCATAGGATGGAAGAGCTTGCTGAGCCAAAAGCTATTTGTTGGATGTCTTTGAGCAGAGTCATTTAATGCCATGGTGCCTCCATTTCCTTCTTTCTACAAAAAGTTTAAAGCAACAACTGCTTCTTGGGCATGTTGGGAGGTCAAATTCATTAGTATAGTGTTAAAATTGTTCTCCCAGAAATGTAAAAGGTGAATAAAGACTGTTAGGTTATAGCAACAGACACATAGAACGTGGGCTGTCAAAGGAAGAGGACCTGAAAAACTGGTATTGTTTCTTCCAATATAAATTTGTTTCTCACTTCTCTGATACATAAGAAAGAGCATTTGCCTTTCCTAGAAATTGAATATTTATAAAGAAAAGAATAGAAATATTTCAGAATGGTAACTGAGCTGATTCATAGCTTCCTTCTATTCCCAAATGTTTGAGACTCCTCTACATTTATCAGTTTTAAGCTCATTCACTGACACTACACTGGGAAATTAAAACGCAGTTTTCCCCTCGTAGTAAGGGATTGCTGCAGGATCACAGCATCTTTCTCGAGGGAAGAAGCCCATTGTTCAGTGCCAGAGCCTCCTCTTCTGGTCGGCTGAAGAGTAGCATCAGACTTGCGTAGTTGGAAACGTTAGCTTGCTTTTGAGCCACAGAGACTGAAACAGAATGGGATGAGAGAGGTGGGAAACAGGGGAACGTTTGTTACTGTTGGCTGCATTTCATGTGATGTAACACGAAAAGCCGTGCTGCTGCTCAGTATTAGAAATTTGACCTTCGCATTCAGAACTGGTTTCAGAAATGCTGCATTGATCTGTTTTTGCCACTGAACTGGGGGAAAAAAAATTCTAAAATGTCCTACCAGCAATACCCTGAATGAGAGATTCTCTGTCAATAACAAAAGGAAAGAGCTAAACAAGCTGATTATTGGGCAGTAATTCTTCAGAAGTTACACAGCTGCTTTCTTAGAGACTTCCTGTTTCATCCCTTTCCCCCTGAACACAGGGAGAACCACTACCTTAAAGCTACCATGAATACGAACTCAAAATGGAGAATGCTGACCTGGTACTGCTGGGTTCCTAGGAATTCTAGTGTTGAGTTACCAGCATGCTGGTATTCCAGCTAGCAATTGTTCGAGGAGTGAAACCAAAACTCCATTCATGTCATAAAGGTTAGCAAAATCATCAACCATCATTTTTTATGGCGGTCCTGTAATTTTCCCTTTGCCTACTGTTAGTGTCCAGTTCCAAAACTGTGAAAATACATTAGTATTAAGGAAATATCTGGCATTTCTCTCATTAGCAGTTGAAACTGATACTTTATAATCAGATCTCCTTGCATGTCCTTTTATTATGGGGTTTAGAAAGGAAATCCACAGTTAATTTAGATAAAAGCCACAGAGTTTTCAGGTTAACAAACAAATATAACTCTGGCATATCCTTTTTCTTCTCTATTGCCTCTGTATTTTTTTTTTTAAATATTTGTTTTGTCCCTCTCTGCTAGCATGTAAAACTCATTTGCACAAGTGGTGACTTAATTTATGAGCAT